GAGTATATATAGGTAAATAGATTTGACAAGCCAGAGTTTCAGTATATAGTGCACTTAAAAAGTGGATTATTTTTTTACACTAACCTAGGGAAAAAATAGTGATTATTTTGTAAGGAAAAAACTTTTTTTATAATATGAAGATGAATAATTTGAACTTTACATTTTCAGGAGTGGCAATATACCCACCTATCCTCCATTTCCAAATCCAGCACCACTGCAGGTGCCTCCACACTCTCCTAGTCCAAGCAGTCCTAAAAGTCCCTATGAGAATGTCAGTCCTTCACATCTTAATTATCCAATGCCACAAAGCCCTCGAACGAGGATCAAGACCATTGTTGGAAAAGAACGGTCAGAGCGTATTGAAAGACTGGAAAGAAGAGACAATTATGAAATACAAGAAAACAGAATGGCAGTTTCTGATTACCAAGTAAGTGATGGTAAGAAAACTAAAAGTCCAAGAATGTTACGAGAAAGTGCAAAAAACAAGGAAAACCTTAGTCCACATACACAATGTGATTCATCCAGCTCACTTGAAGTTGCAGCTCCTCCTAAGCCACCCAGATCACCAAGAATAGAAAGATCTGTTCTTAGTGATTCTCCTACAGTGAATAAGATGAACATTGGTGTGAGTTCAATGTCACCAACCCAAGGGAGTTCAAATGGGGAAGGAACAACGTCTACAAGTTTTGATGGAACATCTGATTATGAAAATGATCTGAGATCAGTGCACAGTGATCTGAACAATTCATTCATGAAGGATTTGAAAGTGAAAGTGACAGACTCCAGTGTCTTAACTAGTCTTGAAGATAACTTAGTTACTAATTTGTCAGATGCTGAAGGAACAGTTGCTATTGTTGATGGCGAAGGAAAGTGTAGCAATAAAGTGTTTGAGGATTATGCCATCAGGAACATACAGGACACATTCAATATTGATGTAAGTTTATTCAATTGGCTATGAATAAAAGAAACAGTATGTCAGATTGAACGTTTAGTCTTTGTACTGTTGTTGCAGCAGTGATTGTCATGTAGGGTATATTTAGATAATTTGCAGGAAATATAATTTGATTGGTATGTGACTCATTAAAGTTGCGAAAGAAAATGCTAGATAAAAGAAAAATGCATGTAATTTGAAAGGGCATTGTCCAGCAACTAGATATGCATGAATGATGTATTTAAATATTAACATTGCCTGGCTAACTTTTAAAAAACATGGAATAGTTTTAAATTGACTAAGTTCCACCAGTTTAAAGATTTTTTTATACTTCACCCCCCACCCCTCCCAACCATCGCAATCATTCACCTTACAACAGGACGTGCCAGGGGAGATTGACCGTCTGAAAGAACTCAAGAATGAGGCTATGCAATCTGTGACGGACCTGAAGCGCAGCGTTTCAGAGCTTGAGATGACTGAAGATGAAGCACTAAGAGAGGTAACAGTATTAATTGAATGAGTTGTTTCCTCTATTGAATTAATTGCAAAGAATAAGATGTGATTGTTACTCAGGAAATTAAAACAAAATAGAGTGAACACATAGATATTTTTCATGCTGTGTGGGATTAAATATGGCAGGGTTTTTGGATACAATGATGAATGTTAACTAACTTGTTTCCTATGTAGCCCTAGCATGATTGATGGCAATGTTATAAGCTTACGTTATTTTTATTTATGTATTGATCTTTTGATAATTATCAGGATTATAGATAGTCTGTTAGCAAATACAAAATTACAACACAAAGATTTACGGAACGTGATACAAAATGAATTCTCTTTTTTAATCAGCAACATTTACAAGCTGTTCTGGCCATGTATTTTGAGCTTTAAGGTCTCAGTGGTTTTAGTCCACTGGCTCTGGGTACAATCACCATCCACTTTATTTCATCATCATCACCAGTCATCAGTCATCATCATCATGATCCTCATCATCACTATTATTGAAATTGTTATTTTTTATAGTATTAGGAGTACTAATAGTAAAATAGTACTATCTTTCCAAAAATGCAAGGAATAGGGTACACAGTTAAGTTCAGGTAGGACTAAGCTATTATTTCTGCCAATATGGAAACTGTCTTGGGAGGCCTTGGTTTAACTCTGCCCCCATTTATTAGTGGCAGGGTAATGACATGAAAAAACAATTTTGAACAGTAATTTGCTAAGTGCATACATATTATCTGCTTATTTTGAGAATTTATTGCATTTTGATTTTTTATGATAAGGCTTATAACTAGCAGCCTGTATTTATTCCTTCTCCATAATGTAATCTCGGTAAAATTATGATTAATAGGGTAAAATAATTCTACAATAACGTGAATGGTTGCTGTTGCAAAGGATGTTTGTAAATGTTTTATGTGAAAACTAGCAACATCTGAGAGTGTCTAGTGAGACTTCCATTAAAAGACTCATTTATGACTAAGCACGTGTGGATCATTAATGTGTAAATAATATCAATAAGATAAAATCCCACTGGACTGCATGCTCTCCTTGCATCAATGAGTTAAATAC